CTCCCCCCAGCCTCCTCCCCCGCCTGTCCAGGGGCGGCACTGCGGGCTGGGAAGCCGGGACCAGAAGAAGGAAGGAAGGAAGGAAGGAAGGAAGGAAGGAAGGAAGGAAGAGAAGAGAGGACAGAGGGGAGGAGAAAGGAAGGAAGGAGAAGGCGGAGAAGAGGGGTCCGGAGGAGCCCAGGAGGAGACGGCTGCACTCGCGCGACAGCATCCACAGGCCACAGTGGGGACCGGTGCTGCCTCCACCGCTCCTCGGATGGTGACGGGGCCTCGCCGCAGCTGCAGTCCCCTTGAGCCCCGGCTCCGCAGGCCCGCAGCGCCGGAGCCACGCAGGAATCATGCCCAGGTCCTTCCTGGTCAAGAAGGTCAAACTTGACACATTTTCTTCGTCAGACCTCGACAGCTCCTACGGGCGTGCCCGCAGCGACCTCGGAACACGACTGCAAGATAAAGGTTCGAGCTGGGCTGGGGCTGGGGCGAGGGGCCCAGGATTTTTCTGGGAGGGGTGGGTCCCAGAATGTGGGAACAGAGACAGAGAATCCAGGAAACAGACTCGGGGGAACCAGGACTGGCAGTAGGCTGAGGCGGAGCTGGGACAGAAGCAAAGATGGGTATGAGAAGGGATACAAAGAAGATCAGACCCCAGCCAAAGCTGGGGAGAGAGTGTGAGTGCAAAAGAGAAGGTTGGGAAGAGAGGTCAGGAAGAGAAGGGACTGAAGTCACTCACTGATCCATACTGTGACCCTTCTGAGACCAGCACAGCTACTTAGACACCTGCTGACACGACAAGACCCGAACACATAGGCACATGCAGACCCACACCCAGAAACTTGGCCCAACTGACAACCCTCTTCTCTTTTTTGGCTGTACCTGTAGGACCCCTGCAAGGTTTATCTGGGGAATGCTGGGAACTCCATGGAAGAGCCATGGGGCCCAGCATGGCTGCCCACCTGTCAGGGCCAAACAACCAGCAGAGGCAGAGTAGTATCTTCTCTGAAGTCAGGATGGGGAGTGGATGTAGGCAAGCTAAACCCAAGGTGTTGGAGATAGGAGAGGCTCTTTGTGTCAGGGTGCCCAAGTTCAAGGACAACTGTTAGCATGCAGGCAAGGGGACTGGGAGTGACAGAAGTGTGGGGTGGTAAAGCAAGTGTGACCTGCAGGAGCATGAGCCTGTGTGGGCCCATGTGACTGCGTGTGGCCATGTGACTGTGTGAGCTTGTGTGTGACCCTGTGTGTGTGCCTGCCTGTGTGCCACTACATGGGACCATGTGACTCTGAGACCGCTGTGCACCATGTGACCAAGAGTGTGTCTGGGATGGCTGCATATGTAACCCTGCATGAGTGGGTGGTGTGTGCCAGGGTCAGTGTACAGCCTACCCTAGGAGGGGACCTCAGGGATGATGGTGGCTAACAGACTGAGTGGAACCCTGAAAGAGCCAAAGCCTGCATCTTGAGAGTTCCTCTGTGACTTGAGATTGTGAGATCCATCTTGTGTCTTGGAGCTGCAGTTACTGTGATGAATGATGGGGCTCTCTTACAGCTTGCTCCATGAAGGTGTCCCCTGGTGGATGTCCTGGCTGGCAGTCTACTCACTACAGTCTCCCTAATCACTCCTCAAGGGGTTTGAGAAAGCCCCTGCAAGGGATTAGGGATGGGGAGGAGAGAGCAATGGGGAGCAGGGTAGGACTCAAAGGTGCAAAATGAAGGGAGTGAGTGACAGGGAAGAGTGGATAGAGGGAGATGGGCAGGGCTCAATGAGGTCCAGGGAGTGGTGGAAGAGGTGGGAAATGAGGGGGAGGTGGTGATGAAGGCCAGAAAAGCTGGGGGAGGTGGAAATCTCCAGGGTTTGTTGGGGACCTAGGGAGCCAGCATCAAGGCTGGGGGCGGATTCTGGGGGACCACGGAGAGGCGGGTCGGCCGGGGTCCCTGCGCTGGCGGGCCTGGCTTTGTGCGCGGCGGGTCTGCAGTGTGTTGCATAATCAGGGAAAACTGCTGAAGTGGGGAGAACCCGAGGGGGGGGAGGAAGAGGGAAGCGCCGCCCCTCCCCCTGACCTTGAGGCTCCACGGAAGGGGGGGCAGCCGCGCCCGAAGATGCGCCTCTCTCCTCCCCCGTGGGGGCGGGGCGGTGGGGCGGAGTCGGCCCGGCCCCGACTCACCCTCTGCTCTTCTCTCTTCCCCTCCCTGCTGTCTCCATCCTCCTGCCCCGTGCTCCCTTGGACCTGTCTCCTTTGTCCTCCTTCCTGGTCGCTTCCTTTCGGACCTGTCCCTCGCCTGTTTGCTCTGTCTCCCGCCCCCGGTCCTGTGTGTGTCCTGCCCGACTCCCCGTCCCCCTCCCGCTGTCTGTCCGTCCCGCCCCGGCCCTCAGGATACCTCAGCGACTACGTGGGGCCAGCGTCCGTCTACGATGGCGACGCGGAGGCGGCGCTGCTCAAAGGGCCGTCCCCGGAGCCCATGTACGCTG